TTTACCGGAGCAATTTCTGAAGTCTGCAGGATTAAAAATATTAGCAGAAAAACATCCTGAAAGATATTCAGTAAGATACGGTATGTAGAGTCAACATAATATGTTTTGGGAAACTGAAATGGAAGATTTGTCCTTTGAAATCATGAACTATGAAATACACCCAGTAGAGAAAGATCTTTGTAGATTACTGAGGTACAGTTTCCTACCTCTCACGAATGTGCTTTCCTCTCGAGGGGAGAGGAATACCTACAATGAGACATGTCAGCACCAATCAGCAGGCTCAACACCTCGCTATCATGCTAACATCAACCTGTTAACAATTCCTGTGCCAACTCACTACTGTTGCATTTCTAATTCATCCTGTAAACCCTCTAGCCATGAGGGCAGTGGCAAGATCCTTACAAATCATCCTAATTTTCATTTTGAGGTTTGGCAGATAAAGGAGGATCAAAACGTGACAAAGATGCCATCTTTCAGAAACCGAAGCAGCCAGCTGAATTTTGTATTTGCTTAAGAAGCAAATCACTTTCCTTGTTCTTAGTGTCAGAGGAAAATCACTGCCAGAAAGCAGCCATTTATTACATACTTAAGATGTTGAAGAGGTAAATTCTATTCTTTGACTCCCCCCCCCCCCCCCCCTTTTCCTTCTGGGAAGGAGAAGGAAATTAAAATGAATCAGTGATACTCTAGATCTTTGGAAGTTCTTGCAAAGTCAGAAGAGAACGTTGCATCTAACCTTTACCCCCACATCTTTTACAGAAACTGTCTGGCCTTCTCGTTTTGACTCCTTGGCAATATCTTCAGTAGATTCTTCATCCTTCAGCCTATGTACAATTGTCTGGACTGTTTTGACCATATTCTTCAGTTCATCAGGATATGGAGTTGGATATCTCTTCAGATTGCCCTCCTGCATTAAAAATAACATTCTAACTTTAATCAAATGCAATAATTAATCACCTTTAAAAGAGAAACGACACTTGGCAGAGCAATCTAGAACCTCAGTTTTGCTGTTTGAGTCTACCTGGATTAACTCAGACATAAGTAATATAAAACCCAGCAAGATTATAAACCACTTTTGTTGCTGTTGTTGTTAATTTTCCATTCACTGGAAACAGAAGGAACTATGACAACTTTAAAGTATTTAAAGAAAACTTTGGAACACTTTAGAGAAACAGGATTAATTTATTATTTCCCACTATCCCCTCCCCCCAGCACCATCAGTACAGTAGTCTCCTAGCATTGCCTTACACCAGCTTTTTCCCTTGTGCTCCATTTTTAATGATCTAGGGAAAAAAGGGGGGAGGGGTTTAACCCCCTTAGATACTCTTAAACTAATAACTGAAGACTTGATTTTTTTCAGCAGAGTGAAATCCACAGCCGAAGTGAGGAAAAATGAGCAGAAGAGGAGGCATGGAAGCACCAAGGATTCAAAATACATTCAGTACTAACCCGAGGTGGTGCCTCCCTTTCATCTTTGTCTTCATCACATTCAAAAGCCACCTGAGCACGCTGTTTCCTCTGTTCCTCCCACAAAGACGGATTGAAGCTTTCATTATCAGATATGAACATAACTAAATAAAAATAAAACAGACTCTAGTAAGAATATGAAAATTGAACAAAATAAGAATAAACTTTCTTTTCCTTGGATAGCATTTATGTGCTTTTATATCTGTACTTGAAAAGATAACAGACTAGCAGTGCCAGAAGTTGAAGACTAACTGTGCTGTCACTGCTCTAAGAACTTGGCCATATTTTCATAATAGTAAAACCTCCATCTGTAAAGTAGAAAAAACTTCTTACATACAGCTGTAGACTAGTGTGAACACTCTCCTAGTGTTCACAGAAGCCTCTCAGCTGTAAAATATATGTATACACACACACACATATATATATATATTCAGATAGATGGATGGACACGGGGTATATGTGTATGGGCGTTTGTACACAAAAATATCTATGTAGCCTGACCTTCTGATGGGGTCTTACTAAAGCATGTATAAGAGCATTCAGTTGATTTGATCTCATGAAAATAAAGCAAAGGAATAATAATAATAATTTACTGACAAAACCCTGCATTATTATTAACCCTTAAAAACAAAACAAAGCGAAAAGCTTCTAAAACCTTAGCAGAAGTTATACAAACAACAGAAGCTTTACAGAGTATTTTCCGTTTAATTTTACAAGAAGAAAGAAATCTTTATCTTTAGCTACCCTCTACCTCTTATTCTAACATACGTCTATTGCTTGGTCAGGTAACAACCCAAACAGTCTAGTGAATCTCCCACCATCACCCCCAGTAACCCCATATTGCTTCACTAGCAACGAAGAGACTGCTCATATTAACTATTTCTAGAGATTTTTCAGCTCAAATAGGAAAAATGCTTAATTATAGGGCTAGCAAAGCTGGAATATTCATTGCAATATTCATTATTTTGCATTTATTAAATAAACTTACTATTGATATTTGAATGGATGTCACTATTGTTGAAGCAGTTCCCAACAAAAAAAACAAACAACCCAAAACGTCCAAAAAACTTTACAAAGAATATCAAAATATCTATTGAACTTAAAGCCTTCCATTTGGGATGACCACCAAGGGGTCAGAGGGGGGTCTTCTGTCAACCTAAGTTAAACAGTTAGCCCTTACCTCGTCCACAGAAGGACGCCCCTGTAACTGGTTTTAGGAGGCTCAAATGGAAACACAATCCTTTCAGGAACTATTTTCTACTTCACTGACAATTTCGCAATGCTTTTCTAATTCTTACATTCTAACACAGGTGCACTATCTACATTAGAGAGCTCTAAAAGTGACACACAATTTACTGTGTTTCCAGATACTTTTCTGATTACTTCTCTCAGCGTACTAGAGGCTTGTGCCATGGAACAGAAAACGTTGCCGCCTCTCAGTTCAAAATGATTCCCATTGTTCCCCCCCACCATAGGGGCACACACAACTCCACGCTTACTGTACTTTATCATAAAAATAGTCTGTCTCCTTTCTGTTAAAAAGGGAGACAAACTTCTTCCCTTCATCTGCATGGTGAAGGGGAGAAGAGAAATAGAGACCTTTATCGTCTTTCCCTGACCCCCGATGGGGTCACTCACGGAATAGTACTCATCTTTGTAACTACCTCACAAGTGTACAGAAGTAACTTTCTAGCAAGGTCTTGCTAGTCTACGCCTAATCTTTTGTAAAACAGTTTGGATTACATGCAAGCAAATTGCAGTGTTCCCCCCCAGCCTGATTTTTTTTTAAATGCATACTGATCTGTATTTAACTATGAAACATTTGACAAAACATTTTATCTAACTTTTTCTTAAAACACTCAGTCTGAAGCAGATACCAAGGAAGGATGACCCAAACCATTAAACTCTGCTGGAAAGAAATAGGTTGTCACGCTGAGAAGTGGCTTCCATACCACTCCCCATAGAGGCACGCTTCCCAAACAAATCTTCTCTTGAAATTTACTACTAAGCAGAATCACGTTTTTAAGTTATTGTTCTCATTTTTTGTGTATAACCTTTCATCAACTACAAGTTTACTTCAAACTTGTATCTAAGTAGTATTATCTAGTGAAAAGCATGTGAGCTGGACTGTCTTCCCAATTTTATTTTCCGAAGTGAGCATTCTGACAAGCTCATTTCAGAAATTCTTACCATCCTCAGTCCTTGGTTGCTGGGGGAACATGTAATTAGTAAGCACTGTTTTTTGTGTGTCAGGGTCAGCTTCTTTTTGAAGAGGGATAAGTGGTTTAGACTGAGAAGGAAAAGAAAGAATGACACATTATTAGAATGTATATGTGTAATAACTAAACAGGACCTATATATTTAAATTCCTGCTACTTATCTACATGTAACAGGGCACACTTTCCATTACACTTTGAAGACTGCTCTGCCTCTGAATAATTTTACAAAATAAAGTTTTTAACACATATGTCTTTGACAGACCATTGGTTTTGGAAAAACACTCAGTAACAGGTTTTAAAAGATAGGCAAACGCCGGCTATTTGAAAAATAACCCAGTTTCTTGCTAGGACATATTACTGCCCCAAAACATGCTGATCTGGAACACACAGATACATTTAGCCATTTAAAGCTGCAGACAATCATAAAAGGAGAAAAATTTTGTACCTAAGAGTTTGATATTGATACCAGATTGAGTATTCCCTAGCCCTTATAAAAAAGGGCAGGAAATCTTAAATTACTGGATTAGTCAAAGTGCTTTTAATAGACCACACCTGAAGTTAATGGATTTCTGGTAGCACTGTACACTTTAATGCCATTCAGAAAACTGATATAGTACCAAGGGCTTCAATACACAGGAAAGATGCACGCTGTGAGCACGAGTTACTTTGCAGTAGCTTGAAATTTGGACAGTCAGAGAGTTCAAAAGCAGGGTAAGCAGTCTAGTGCAAAAGAGAGCATGCTAAATTTCCTCAATAGTATATACTGTGGAAGAAACAGTGTACTATATATCAGAACACGAGCTTATCAAGCACTGCCTTTCCTGTGTAAACAAGCCCCAATCAAGAACAAACAAGAACCCCAACATCTGTTAAAGGGCATTTCCTAACAGCACAGAACTTGGCCACAGATATAAAAGTCTCAAAGCTGGGCAGGCTCAATGCTGCTTAATTTAACAGAATCGACAAACTCACATCAAGGAAGTATTGGTGCATATAGACAGTACTACTACTCATCATTCAACAGATGGCTCTGTATTTGTAAGTTCCATTAGGAATAAATTCAACGATATTTTATTCATCCATATGTAAAAAAGAAAGTTCACCTGATTGTCTGACAGCCACATAGCAGTGAGCTGCTGCAGTTTTGTAAAGGTAAAGGGCAAATTCTTCAGTCTGCAATTCATAACAGGAAGATTTTATGTAAGTATGCTTGCTTACCAGTGCTAAGACTGTTAAGAAAAATGCTGCATTAGTTTGTAAAAAAGCTTGCAAAAGACTTTTAAAGATATAGTTAAGTGAATAACTATTGACAATGGAAAGGCAATAGCATTTAATTTCAAGGCTATACCTGGAATTAATTAAAATCATTATTTTCTACACTGTTTAACAGGCACCTTAAAAAGAACTGAGACAATGTATTTTAACTTAACTTAGTTTAGCAACTTGCTACATCTGAAAAAGTACTGATTTTTTCCAAGAAAAATTTATGGTGAAAAGGTTGCCCTGGATAATAGAAGCTCTGGCATTCACAGATAAAGCAGAGCGTACTGAAGTATGGAGAAGCCAGACTGGGAAAACTAGAGGGAGAGCTCGGTTAGACTCATCTCTCCAAATGTCTTTTAATTTATAAAACTGGTAGTTCCCAAAAGAAATGTTTTGTCAGTTTGAAGTTACCAGCTCCAATAAAACTAGCTTTCTCCTCCCCTTCCCCAGCACACAGAGTATTTTACAAGATACCCTGACAGTATTTTGTGTCTTTGCACACAATAAAGGCAGCTATTAGATTTGATTCTTTACTAAAAAATTAAGTTTTTAGAAGATACTTGAATTCATTTCCTATAAAAATACATCCTAACAATCATGAATGTAGTAAAGCTAATGAAGGTCATTAAAATAATGCCATTCCACTGTATGAAGCGGTAAGCTTCAGAACACAGCAATAATAAAATACATGCATCTCAGTTCTGCAGAAGACAAACAACTCTGGAAGCTTTGACAAAGTAACGACATCAGGAAAGTGCATATTATTACCACACTATAATACACTAAAAGAGCAACAGAGACTGAAACAGTGCAGGTGATAAGGAAAGATAAAAAATATATTCACAAAAATACCTCTATTTGGGGGATAGACATTGGTTACAGTACAATATAGGAGTTGCCTAAAATGCAATAGCATTGCCTACATTAATAAATTTAATTTGCAAACCTATTGTCACTCAGATTGATGACTTTTAATTTCTGCATATCACCCATTTCTTCAGGGAGAAATTCAATCTTATTAGAATGCAGAAACAACACTGTTACATGCTTCCAGTTTCCTATCTGAAAAAAAAAATCCAAAGAATTAATTCATCCTCACAGCTCCAAATACACAATTTTTTGCAGTTTTAAAATAACTATTAAAGCTATTTTCATCTGTAAGTTGTAATTAGATTTATTCTTACATATGAAAAACTGAATAAACACATGCTGTAATCAAAATATGTTCTTCCCCCTTTTGACTTCAATACATTAGCAACTAATTTCTCCTGCTTGCTTCAAACACACATTCGGTTATTTTGTTTACTTGACAACTTGTACATTTACATACACTCTTTTAAAAACATACACCCAGAAAATCTGCTCCAAATTTATTAAGTTGGAAGCCAAATCACGTATAGAGTATATAGTATAAAATCAATTAATAAGAAAAATTCAGTTTATAGTTTTGAAACTAAACACATACCTCTGGTGGCAGTTGTGTTAAAAAGTTATGATCTGCAGCAAATGTCCTTATGTTAGAGAGTTGCCCAACAGATGAAGGCAATGTTTCAATCTCATTGAAACTACAGTCCAGTTCTTCTACTGATATTAACCTGAACAAATAAAAAGTTACTCCTCCACACAGCTAAATTCATCCAACATCAATTTGATACTTCTAAAATTTACATGAAATTGATACTACTATCAATTACAAATCTCCAATTAAATTCAAAATGAAATTCAGAAACCCAAATAAAATTCAAATCCAAGAAGTTTTTTAGCCAATTTGCCTGAACTCTTCTTTCTTTTAAATCTCCTTTATACTGTCCACATAAGAAAGCTTTAAGTATAAACAGCAGAAGGCCTGCAACATTAAATTTTTGTGCACTACATGTATGGTAGCACAAAGTCCCGAAAACAATCAGAATGAGACCGATCATAGACAAACAGGAATTGAGCTCGACTCGTGAACAAGGAAAGAACTGAAGGAGTGAGTTAGTATTAGGCTTTGGCAGTGAAGTAGTATATTGTAAATTCTGACAGAAGAATAACGTAACCTACATTAGTTATAAAAAATGTAATAGGAGAAAAAAATTGGAACAAATACATTTCATTCGTACAGCAGTTAACTCTGAGTTCTTATTTTCACTGTTGTTTGTGAATTTTAAGTTAAATTGCTGAACACCAAATTGTACATTTAAAAAATCCTGCTGATTCCATTTAACTGGGGAAAAATTTACCTTAATATTATATGTGCCTTTCAGATTTACTTTTTATAACCAACTGATACTTGTTGAAACAGGTTTGATCATTTGCAGTATGTAACTAACACAGCCAAAGCTGAGACACTAGAACTTTATCCTTGCACTATGCCACAAAATACTTTCCTGAACTGTAGGCCTTCATAAACATGTTTGTATTCTTTTCTTTCATATTCAATTTTTCACTTATAGACTGATGCTCACATTAATGTCTGAGGAACTAAGGTCTTTTGATATTAATATATCAATATATAAAGAACATACATGCAGCTAACTAGAAGATATGAAAGCAATTGCCTTCAAATTTATTAAGACATTACTGTAACATGTAGCAGATATATCAAGCAGAGACATAGAAAACCATTCAAAAGAGCAGGTGTTGTTACAGAAAAGCTTACAGGAAGGCTAATTCAAGTGAAATACTTACCCTCCTATGGAGTCTGGCAAATAAATTAACTGGTTTTCATCAATTTTAAGCGTTGTTACCTTCTTCAGGGAACCTGTGGTAAAAACCAACAATTAGATCAAAAAGAACATTAGAGTTAATTTAAACAAAAAATTGAATTTAATAAAGGGAAAAACACACTATAGGCAAGTCACCACATCTTCTATATTTCCTGAAATCTTGGCACACCTATAGTGCTATAAACCTACTACAAAAATAAGAACATGAACTTACAGAACTACTTGCCAGCTTACCACACATCAGCCATAGGGGGAAAAAAAAATAAAAAAATTTAACTCTATGGTACAGTTAACAATTACTCATTTACAAACTCCCGAATAAAATCAAGAACATGCCAAGCCAAATAAGTGTTACTATTCAATTATGTGTTATAGCTTTCTCCTAAACTGGAAATTTAAATCGACTGAAAATAGACAAATGGTATTTTAAAATCTAAGTGAAGCGTTCTGTGTCTAAACCATCAAGTTTTAGAGCATGAAGTAAGTGAAAATACAAACCAATGGACTCTGGCAGTTGCTGAAGTGAATTACTGGATAACAGTAGGTCTTGTAGGCTTTCACAACCTGAAATACCCTCTTCAACCACTTCAATATTGTTTTTAGAAACATCCAAGTAGGTCAGCTGTTTCAAGGTACCTATGAACTAAAAGGAAAAAAATGGATTCTAAGAAGTGTAAGTTCAAAACAAAAAAGCCAGTAGTTTTGACAATAAACTTTCTCTAAAGTGTTATGTTACGGTTAAAGATGAAACATATTTATAGGACTGAAATACAATTTTAGGTAGAATCCCCAAACTTTATCATACAATTTTTTTGTGCAAACATGCACAGTTAATGTTTTTCTACACATACAGACACACTACAGTTATTCCATAGCTCTCGCTAAAGTCAGCCCACTGTAAATTCAACTGTTGAATCAGTTACTGTGGAATCAAGTGACTCCTCATCAGAGGACTAAAGCTTAAGAGAGTTAAGATAGAAATTCATCTACCATAACACAGGGACATAATCAAGTTCGAGTACAGTCTCTCAGATGCTTATTTTTGCATTTTGCGTAAAACTGCATTCTGCTTAACCTCAAAAACAACTATGATGAATCACTAACTAAATTCAAGAACAAAAGCCAAAAACCTAAGTTTCTACTCCATTGCCATACAATCAAAAAATAAGCATGAAGATTTACACACATTAGTCTACTGAAATCTTCACAAAAAAGATGCAATTACTTTTACAAATACAGTTTTACTATGAAGTTCAAAGGTTTAGTATTCACACCCATTCAGGTCTCCTCGAGGAAGAACTAGCTGAAGCAATGAAAGGCAGTAGATGAAGCCTACAGGTCTGAAAACAGACCAGCTGTTTACAAACTTTCAAATGCAGTTTACTACAACATAAACACAGGTTCACAAGGACTGCGATAACAGGTTATCCTGGACCCCATAATAATTCTGAGAGATGTCAGGAACCTAGATAAAGGCAGCAGAACATTTTTTCAGGAACATACCTAAGGTCTGTGGATACATGGCATAAAAATATGAACAATAACTGCTTACTCTACAGCGATTACCAATCACAATTCATACAACATTTTTATCCTGTGAAGTCCCGCTTGCTCTCTAAAATAATGTAATTTCTTCCCAGAAGGAAAGCTGGGAAACCCTTAATTTGATCTAGGATTTTTACATATCCCTTTGCTGGGTTGGAACATAGCTTTTACATGAGAGATTTATAACATTCAGTGAAAGAAAAGCCATATACCCATCTCTCACAAGATCAGTGACAACTTAAGTGGGCCAGTTAAGCAGGAGCACTTAACATTTTGGCTTAGGGTAACATTAAAATATGCAATAACTCCAACATAAAAACTACCTGACAAAGCAAATACCACTATAAAACCAAATACAAAGATATTTAAAACAATAAAAGGATTTACCCCTGGGATAAGTGTTAGTCTGTTACCATCCATCCAAAATTCCTTTAACCCACTCAGTTGTTCGAGTACTTCAGGCTGTAAAGAGCAAATTTAAAAAAAAAATTTCATGCAAAAAAAAGAGTCAAAAGACAAAATAAGTACAATGATACATATATTTGCAACTTTAATGTCTTTTTATAACCGTTATATACCCTTGTTTCCTTGGGTCATCAAATACAACTCAGATGTTTTACTTTCTGAAATGTAAATATATCCTAGATATACAAAAATCTGGTAACAACTTGATCACAGCACTAAACGATCCTTAGTAGAAAAGATTATCTTCCAGCTGAAACGCATCATAATTCTTATGTGTGCAAGTCTTCCTCTCATGCAGGAGGTTTAAAAACCCTAAATTCCTTGAATTTAGAAAACCTGTTTTTCAATAGCCACAAAGTTGACAAGATACTGAACTAGAAAACTGAAAAACAGAGTCAAGTTTTGTAGCAACAAACAAAAGATGCATCTGTATGATAAAAACAAACCATTCTATCCATGAAGTGAAGTGCAGGATATATTCCCATTACAACTTATTGTTATTCTGTGCTGATAAAAGCTTTTCTTTTTTTTTTTTTTTTAAATGTAAGTATATTCTGTGCTACTAGGAAAAGACCACACTTCTTGATAAACACCAATACTGCATATACTTTACTTAAACTTCCCTCCTGAGAAAGTACAATAAAAACAGGAACTACCTGCAGCTGAACAACCAAATGCACAGCTCAATTTCTTTTTATGCTAGTTTATTAGTATTCGTGCAAAAATTACAGTCTTGGCTCCCAATAATAAATTTTCCAAGGGCCACAAGGACACGTTGCTGGCTCATGGTCCGCTAGCTGTCCACCAGGACTCCCAGGGTCCTTCTCGGCAGAGCTACTTTCCAGCAGGTCAACCCCCAGCCTGGACTGCTGCATGGGGTTATTCCTCCCCAGGTGCAGGACCCTGCTCTTGCCTTTGCTGAACTTCAGGAGGTTCCTCTCCGCCCAGCTCTCCAGCCTGTCCAGGTCCCTCCGAATGGCAGCACAGCCTTCTGGTGTGTCGACCACTCTCCCCAGTTTAGTACCATCAGCAAACTTGCTGAGGGTGCACTCTGTGCCTTCCTCCAGGTCATTGATGAATATGTTGAACAAGACGGGACCCAGGACTGACCCCTGGGGGACACTGCTAGCTGCAGGCCTCCACCTCGACTCTGTGCCACTGCTCTGCTATTTAGCCAGTTCTCAATCCACCCCCACCCCGTCCACGCACCCAGCCTGCTCTTTCGGAGCTTGCCTATGAGGATGTGACAGGAGACAGTGTCAAAAGCGTTGCTAAAGCCAAGATAGACAACATCCACAGCATGATCAGTGACTAATGAAATACCTACTGGTGGCAAATAAAAGCTTGACTTTATCACATGGCAGGTCAGAACGATCACTGTCTTTTTAAATTCCCTTACAATTGGAAACCTTTTTAGAAGCAGAGGGATGTTATTGAATATAAGTGGAAGGGGATTTATTTGTCTGTGACACCATGAACAGGAAACAAGCTGATCCATGCCAAAGAAAAAACCTGAGCACCTCAACTGAAAATGCTACTTTGAACCATACTCAAGACAAACTTATACCAAATTAATAAAATTTCCCTTGGATCTAAATAGTTTGCACGTTCTAATAAAAGCATGCTTCATACAGCTTATACAGAACTTGCAACACTTAAGTACACAAAGACCAGTAAGCATTCAGAATTTATTATAAAGCCAAACCATTCTGCCTACACATTACACATTTAAATTACAACTTAAATTACACATTTAAATTACACATACAACTTACACATTTAAATTAACCTCTTGCCAATACTTTAGCCCCAGTATAACATAGTGTTTTATTTTCAAAGTGTGGTATGATGTATACTTATATTCATATATATATACACACACACAATTTTTAAAACAGGCTCTATAAAATAGTATAAGATATATGCAGTATTTGTTCAGCAGCAGAGCTCTTAAGCTTACTTTTACAATTTGATGATGATTTAAAATAGATTAAAGGATAAAGAGTTATCAAAAAGATTCTAAGCTCTGCTACTTTAGTAAAACTCACCACTTCTGTGAATTCATTACTTCCTAAGTCCAGTCTCTCCAGCTGAGTCAGTCTGGACATGGTTCTGCAAAGGAAGGGGATTAATAAGGAATTAGATTTAAGAAAATACCAGTTACATCCAATCTTACTGTATTCATACTGACATATCATTTTATGTAAGTATCAAATCATGATGATGTTCTGTAACCAGACTGATGTCTAAATAAGGTCAAACTCTCATATATCATTCAGCTAACCAGCCAACTAACTGAAAGTCCTGTGCAGCAAATCATCTACAGATTAGTTCACAAAAATTGAAAAACAGTCATCTTCACAATAAAGAGCGTTTCAGTGAAGTTACTATCCCCTCACTGGCTGCCTCAACTTTCTTCCTAAGGTCATAAACACCACTCAGTAGCCACAAACTGGTTAACAATATATTTTCCAAGACCACTGAATACGAGTCAGCTAAAGCGCAAAAGAACACTGTTGAATCGCTATAACAAACATCACATTTCGCCCTTCCCAGGCTGTTCACAAAGCTCCTTCCGTATGCTATGACCTGGAATCGTAATTATTTCTCTATTCTTAAAATAAAAATTATGTTGAAAATGCATGCGTAAAACGCACACAAATGTTTTTGCAATATCACTTATTTCCCTCCCCTCCCTCAACTTTTTATGCAATTTATGTTTATTCTAGCTATTTTATTACAATGTTTCCTTCAACTAACATCTCTTCACTTTTCCCATATTGTTTACGGAGCCACTACTCCTTCAGCTAAAAAGCAATCAAAACTTGTGAAACGCTGAAAGTGTTAATGTAATACAAAAATTCAGTACTAAAGAAGAGGGGGAATACCGGATTGAGAGCGAAAAAAAATCTACTAGATCACTGAGTCATTTTCTACCTCAGGCATAGCATTATGTAAGCTCTTTCATAAACTGATAACACTGTTTCATAATTCATATTACTGAAATTGCTGTCAAATCAATCTAACACTAACAGAACAGTTACTCCAATTATGCCTCAGTTTCTAAAGCTGTAAATAGACAACTTCACTAAGGCTAACAATATCACTTACTTCAAATAGCATAACATTCAAGAGGTATGAGTGATAGCAAGATTGGGTCCTGAATCATCATAATTATCCCCTCAATTTGCTTCTTTTTAAAGAGTTATTCTTTTTATTGACAATTAGACAACAGATATATGCTTAAAAAGAGAGAAAGAAACTTTCCAAGTTCAACATTTTATATTTGCATTAAACTATATTCTCAACTTCCAGCTACGTATCAGATGAATTGCCTCTAAAATATTCAGGACTACAAAGATGATGAGGGGACTGGGGCATCTCTCCTATGAGGAAAGACTGCAAGAGCTGGGCCTGTTCAGCCTGGAGGAGAGAAGACTGAGAGGGGATCCCATCAACGTATACAAGTATCTGAAGGGAAGGAATCCAGAGGATAGGGCCAGACTCTTCTCCTTGGTACCCAGCGACAGGACAAGAGGCAACGGGCATCAACTGAACATGAGGAAAAGCTTCTTCACTGTAAGGGTGACAGAGCACTGGAACAGGTTGCCCAGAGAGGTAGTGGAGTCTCCTTCCCTGGAGACATGCAAAACCCGTCTGGACGCGATCCTGGGCAATGTGCTCTAGGTGACCCTGCTTGAGCAAGGGGGCTGGACTAGATGATCTCCAGAGGTCCCTTCCAACCTCAACCATTCTGCGACCTCTGCATATTTTTGCTTTCTTTTCAGTAGAAATATTTTTACTGAGCTGGTCTGCATTACAATACTGCCAGTTTTGTAGTCTCTGGCTCCGGATACGCTCCAAGCAAAACAATGCATTTGGCACAAAACAAGGTTGATTTAGTATGCTGGCATTGATTACTTATTTTGATTAACAATCTTTCAAGTGCTTTATGCTTCAGTGTTAAAAATTATGTTCATGTTGAATTTAGCAGGAAAGCTAGTTGATGTTGTAGAACTTTGTCCAAATATATCTATGATTACAAAAACAAAAGAAGTAGCCGCCATAAGTATGAAAATATTGAAAAAAGAGAGAGTGGCCATGAAATAAGAAAAAAAATTTGTTGTATTTCATAGTAAAAATATTAGCATGTACTGCTATGTAGCAATAGCTTCAACAAAACATTTGTTTTTCTGAGCTACAGCTTACAACTACACTGTTTAAAGCTGTAGATCATGTTCCTTTGGAACACGTTCAGGTTTTGAAAAATATGTAAGTTATAATTTTACATCCGTTTCAGTTTTGACTTAATAGCTAAAAGCAAAGTCACAGATCACTTTGTTGGTTAGGTCAATTGCTGAACAGATGTATTTTGCTGAAAGGCACATTCACCTCCTACATACTATTCACACCACAGTAAGTTTTTCTTCCCAGTGTACGTCATATATAAACAATGTATTTTTCTAGTGCCTCAGTGCAGTAAAATGCTTAATTATGTATTTAAATTAAAAGTAAGTAGTCCCAGTAGCTTTAATCTCACTTAATTAAAAACCACCAGAGCACCAGAAGAGAACAATTAAGGTGGCAGCTCAGCCTGTACTGTAGATCATTACGGAGACACTACAGAGGACACCTTCATGACAGCTGAGCTGAGTTATGCAGCTAGAATGAAACCCTGGAAACACTGAAATCAACAGGAAAGATTCCCAGCAGCTTCAACAGTAGTAGCATTTAGCCTAGAATACATTACCGCATTCCTGTAAATGTCCCTTATCAGTACAAGAGACCTCTGTAAACTACTTAAAAACAAACAAAAAAAATGTATGTAATTCATGCTGTTAGCATTGATTATAGCAATTAAGGTCAGGGTAATTTTGTAAACAAAATCTGCGTTAGTTGTATGCTTAATAATATGCTTTTAATCCTAGCTACCGTTCTTCAGTTACTCCTAACTTAATTTACACAGCCAGTATCCCAAATTACACATCCTCTAATTTTTGCTACTGAAAATTAATGATATCACAAGGAATAAAAAAGGATGGAGAAGTATTTACATCACACTAATGAGTTACAGAACATGTCACTTTTGAAAGTTTAAGTTTACTCTTTCTGGTGCTACATTTCTTTCCAGATTTGAGTTCTGGCATTTGTATGTAGCAAACATAGCATGGTAACTAGACACAATACAAAAAGCGGCACAAAATTCTGTCAAAAGGGATGTCCAGGTAAACAGACTTGCTTGTTTCTCAAGTGCATAGTTAATTGGAGTCACTAGGAAAACTCACTTTTGTAGTTGAAGGGCTGGCAATTCACACTTCAGCCTGCTGCATACAAGTCTGCTAGCACATGAGCTGGGCAATGTGCATATTCACTTGTTAGTTCCTTCTACCCCCAAACATCTGACAGCAGTACCTCCCTTTAACAGTTTCTCTTGCTAGAGGAAGACCCCTTTTACTGCACACCGCAACATACTCAGTACTATAGAGCTGGTTATTCATGTCCCACCACTGGGATCTCTGTCCTTCTCCTTACTAACCTTCAGGCCTCCATTATGCATTTAAACCTCTAGATCCAAGTCAGACAATTCAGAGCACTTGTCTAGCTCATAGACACACAGGAAATTTAATGTTGTCACCCTAGGTTTGTTTCGTGAAACAAGAGTGAGTTGTGTAAGGTAGGGCTTAGAAATATTTTGAGAGATAGACACAACTGAATTTTACTGCTAAAACACATCCTACAACAATTTTGAGAACAATTTTAAAACTACAGAAAACATGGCTGAGGAATATGCTTCCATTACGCTAAACAAGCCTGGAATATTACAGAATACGTATTACATAAACAGATTCCATGCCACACAACACAAAAATATTACTTTTTCAGTAGTGAAGTACATTAATTAAAAAAAAATTGTTTACATTGTGTGAATCACATTCCCTCAGTCATTCTGAATAAGCATCTCAAACCCCACATTTCATTTAGAGATCTTAGTACTTAACTAGCAGTGCCTAAATTTCAGGCACTCAGCCACCACAACAGTACCCAGATGGGTATCTGGGGACCAATACAGTTGCATTATGTGGAAAACGTCGACACCTCAAAATGATCGTCCTGAAGTGCCCACGTGCTGAGCTGAGAGCTCTACAGGTGGATCAGAAATCCATAGAGCTGGACAGAGACAGACATCTTTGTGTACAGAATGGGGTACCAGAAAAAAATTCAGGCAAATCTCTGAATAAGATCAGTCAGTTTGAACAGAAATGTAATTGCAGTAGTCTGAAGGAAAAGAGTGTCTTGTTACAGAATTACCAAGTGCCAAAATATTAGTAAAATATTATTAGTAATACTGAGGAAAAAATTCTAGAAGGTATTTAAAATAAATTTCATCTGCACTTACTTTGGCAATATTTTTAACTGGTTTTCTCTAAGTTCCAAAATCTGGAGCTTAGTTAATCTGTAACAGAAAGGAATAACAGATTATCACAATATACAGTATTTTATGACAAACACAATCTCAGTACTTGTTTATATTGCTAAGTTTATACTCTGTAAAAAGAGACCTAAATGTTTGGAATAATTTCTATTCAAGAATCCAAAGACAAATGTTTTATCCAGAAATTAGTATGTTCTTCTCTTAGTTACTGGGGTATGGTTTTGGTACAGCACCAAACAAACTGGATGTCAACTGCTTTTCTGCACCTGCTTGAACACGCTTTTTTCCTGCATCCCATATTTTAAAGCATTTCACTGGATTCCTAATGAGTATGTGTTAGCCTCATATACAAAAATACACAGGAAATGAAGAAAGGCAGGATTAGTACACAAAAATTAAGACACTGAATTTCTAATACAGGCCTATGTATCAAAGGATACCACATATTCTTACAAAAAGTCTCATTAGAAGAATACCTGTGGTTTTCCACATGGTAAAAATGACCTTTAAATTCCTCTTGGATTTCCTTTCAGACTCTTTCTAGTCGGTTTCTTAATTCATTTTGATATTTTCTATTAGAGGGCAGTTTGACCTCTCTTTCAATAACGTTTTGTGCAAGAGAAAATAACCTCTACATCTCCAAACTTGACTGCTTGGCCAAGGTAAGTTCAAAGCAGTCTTGCCATTCAAGCAGTGTAGAGCCCCCAATAGAATTTTGTTGGGTAGGACAGAAGCGATAAGATTGTCTCTTCATTAAATGAAAAATGGACCCTGAGTTTGGCTTAAATGCAGACAGGGTCATAAGGATCAAACGCTTCACGTCACCCACCTAGCAGCCCTCATACACCACAAAATAGGGCAGTAAGCTCCCTGACTAAGGAAGGAGTAGAGGGAACAGACTAGTCTTTCCTGAAGGAGCTCAACCAAATATATTGGAAGGACACAGACAAAAAGCTTAATTCTTACTAAGCAGTAAGAACTATATTTAAAATAAAAATAGAAAGCCTAAAAATAATATTTGGTTTTCCTCAAAACATTATCTCATTTATAGATGCATTCAAAAGTAGTGATCTGCTGCACCTATGAACAACATAACAGCCACCTTGAAACAGAGCAGAGGTCAACCTAGCCCTGTATTGCAAGCAATAATTGCCATCTGGTAATAACTGTTAGAGGGAAACCTCTTCTCCTTGCTTTCTCAAAAAAAACCAACCCTATAACAATGCCAGAAGAATACTCTAATATCCTTTGGGATAGCCTCCCCACCTGTGTTAACATTACAACAGCTGTACAATAAGCCCTTATCAAGTTGGCATTCAAATACAGTTCAGACCAGGCTTCAGGGAACTACAAGAGTCCAAAATTACAAAGCACTAATGACCTAATTTTGCACTCTTGTACTCAAAGAAAAACATGCTCTAAAATAAGTCAACAAAAGAGTCTACCTTCAAAGGAGTATTCCGGAACCAGCTATGCCTCTCCTCTAGCATGAGGAGGGGGAAAATAAAAGTCTCACATTCTCATCATCAGCCCAGACAAACTGAGATTACCGCAAAATTTTCTCAAAGGCTTTTGATACTGTCTCCTGTCACATCCTCATAGGGAAACTCCAGAAGTGCGGGCTGGATGAGTGGAGGGTGAGGGGGCTTGAGAACTGGCTGGATGGCCGAGCTCAGAGGGTTGTGGTCAGTGGTGCAGAGTCTAGGTGGAGGCCTGCAGCTAGCAGAGTCCCCCAGGGGTCAGTCCTGGGTCCCGTCTTGTTCAACATATTCATCAATGACCTGGAGGAAGGCACAGAGTGCACCCGCAGCAAGTTTGCTGATGGTACTAAAGTGGGGGGGGCAAGAGCAGGGTCCTGCACCTGGGGAGGAATAACCCCATGCACCGGTACAGGCTGGAGGTTGACCTGCTGGAAAGTAGCTCTGCCGAGAAGGACCTTGGGAGTCCTGGGGGACAGCTAGCGGACCATGAGCCAGCAATGTGCCCTTGTGGCCAAGGAGGCCAATGCTATCCTGGGGTGCATGAGGCAGAGTGTTGCCAGCAGGTCGAGGGAGGTGATCCTGCCCCTCCGCTCAGCCCTGGGGAGGCCTCACCTGGAGTGCTGGGTCCAGTTCTGGGCCCCCCAGGACAAGAGAGACGTGGCACTCCTGGAGAGAGTCCAGCGGAGGGCTACCAAGATGATGAGGGGACTGGGGCATCTCTCCTATGAGGAAAGACTGCAAGAGCTGGGCCTGTTCAGCCTGGAGGAGAGAAGACTGAGAGGGGATCCCATCAACGTATACAAGTATCTGAAGGGGGAGTGTCAAGAGGATGAGGCCAGCCTCTTCTCTGTGGTGCCCAGCAACAGGACAAGAGGCAACGGGCAGGAACTGGAACACAGGAAGTTCCATCTGGACCTGAGAAAAAACTTCTTCACTGTGAGGGTGACAGAGCACTGGAACAGGTTGCCCAGAGAGGTAGTGGAGTCTCCTTCCCTGGAGACATTCAAAACCCGTCTGGATGGGATCCAGACGCAATATGCTCTAGGTGACCCTGCTTGAGCAGGGGGGCTGGACTAGATGATCTCCAGAGGTCACTTCCAACCTAAACGATTCTGTGATTCTGTGATTCTCTTCTGTTTCCAAAACCTTTAAATGTTCATGTTACCCACTATAAATCTCCTCCCTCCCAGATTCATCGCAGTCTTGGATAATACGCAACAGACTTATAATTAGATGCAGGTCTTCAATATAAAGGATTGTGAAAATACAACAGATAAAAAGAACAATCTTCTCTAGGAAGAAAGAACAGTAGTCCTTTCTCTTTGGAGACTGCAGATGTTACACTTTATACTCCTAATGATGAACTTAACGTATCAATAGCAGAATCACAAGTCTTCATCTCTTTTGGTATTAGACCATCCAATTCCCACCTCAGAATGGGACTAGCCTCTGGAAATTGAAATTGTTTAGGAATACTGGAGAACAAGAAAAATGATTCTTCCACTAAGATACCAATTCTTCACAGGTTAGGAAGAAATTATGCTCCTCATGCCCCCCCTACCCCCCGCTTCTGATGCGGCTCATAACTCCAGATACTTGCTTAAGTTTTTAATACTTTTTCAGCAGTGCTGTTTTTAAATATTGATCTAAAAATAAAGCTGCACATATGAGCAACTCCAGAATCATTTCAGTTGAGGAGTCTTCAACAATCAAACACTGCACAGAAATATTTACAAGTCACCTTAAAACAAAGCTAAAGGGAGTGTTATTTAATTTTAAGTATACTTGGTGTAATGGTTTCAACAAAAATATTATTTTATGCAAATGACTTTTAAAATGTGGCTCATTTAAGAAAAAAATCTAGATAAGTACCTTGCCCAGAGTAAGTTCAGTATTTTTCATAAATCTGAACTCTTTTCTGTTAACTAGACAATCTGTAAAAATATAGGAGAAATATACAGCAGATATACTAAAAAAATTCATGTTAGAACAGCAATGACTTTGGATAACTGAAAATATTTCACAGATAGAGATTCTTGTACTTTTGATAATGCAGAAATATACTTTTTAAATCATAAATAAAATATAAAGGCAAGACAACTGAAATAAATTTTTAGTAGTATCTATTTTGGGCTATCTTTTCATTTCTGCATAAATGAACAATGATGATACAGGTGGGGTCTTAATTACATATATCTAATTTTGCTGAAACTGTTTTGCAAAGTACAGCTTGCCACAGGATGCATTTTCTTCGCTTATGCCCTGCAAATTTTCAGGGAACAAAATTGCAAGTATATTCACAGCAACATCACAATAAAAAAGTCTCTGAAAGCAAAAGCAATTATCCCACTACAGACCACATTCTCAGGGTTTTTAAAATGATGCCATAGGCTGAAAATAAACTCCTTGCTTATCGTAAACACCTATCAGCTGTGTAGACATATCCAATAACTATTATTTTGCTAAGAAACCAGAACATACTTTATAGAAAAGCCACCAAGATTATCTACTATATTCTGTTTAATGTAGTGCTAGTGGCTCTTGTTTTCTGCTGGACAAATAAAACTTGTATCTAACCCTCAAAACATTACCCTTTTAAAGTAGAGTCTCAACATTAGCATGAGGTGAGCTTTAAGTTTTGAATGCTCTATTTTTATATTTGTATATTTAAATTTAACTATTTATGATGTATTTAGAAACAACAGATATGGTTTTTCTTAGGTAACCATAACCCCAGTGGTTCTCAAACTTCTGTGCATTGGCATAGTGGCTACCTCTGGGATTCTGGTCAATATTAACATATGCAAATTTGAATTTGGGAGTGGAGGAAAAAACACTATCACCTCACAATTCCAGAGGAACTGGCACATTTAATCACAAGTCTGGTGATCTTTAATGAGTCTAACAGGCTGGACTGGTACAACATTACTGAAGAACAGCAAATATATAGTACTCAAAGAAAGGAAAAAAGGTCAGATAATTTAATGTCTTTAACCTGACCTCAGTATTATGCAGAGCTTTAGCACAAATTCTGAAGGAGAGAATCAAACATGGTGGTAAACATAGTAACATGCTTCTTGGATTTTTGCCAATAGTAGTTTGCATCACAAAAAACAAAGCTTTCTTTGCTGTGCATCAGGTTGAAGATTACTGTTGGAGGCGCTTAAAGACCTATTTTGGAACTGATCCTGTTCAAAATTTTTTAAACAGTCTTAACACAAAGCGTTGGAAAAAACGCATTGACCAAGTTAGCTGGTACAACAGAAAACAGGAGTCACAATCAATACAGTGAACTATTAGGACACTCAAGGGGGAGGGGGGCAGGAAACACAAAACATAGCTTTGAGGACTGGAAAAACAGAAGAGGGCTGAGATGCCACAGTGTGAAGTTGTATAGTTGTGATTTCCTTCACTGGTCACTAACTGAGCTGTTTAGGGCATTAGTTGATCATGGGGGAAAACATCATTAGGCAGCTGCAAAAAGGGTTGGTGAAACCCTAGAGCGTAGCCACACACATTTCCAAGAGAAACAAGAAGATAATCATGACATTGTCCAAGACCACGAAGAGATCTCAGGGGGCAGAAGTGGGGGAAGAGAGAAAAAACGGAAAGATGGATTCAAACCGAAACTAGTTCAAGGAGATCTATTACATAATCAGGGAAAAAGAAGAACTTGTTTAGTCTAACAAATGGATTAAAAAAAGGGAACAATTGCTGCACCAAATTAGAAAAAGTTTATTCCAGGTTTATTCCAGGTTATTCCCTGGATGGGAATAACCAAAGCTTTAAATATCTAGCAGTTTTTTTGCAAATGCATTCCCATATTCCAAAGTACAAAGTTATATCTCAGACTGAACGCAATAGAAAGCACTGGTATTTAGTTGCAAAGCTGTGGGTTGTTAACGCAGTCTGATCATCATTCACACAACACAAGTACTCAAAGTCAGAAGGGGCTGAACTTTACTTCGAAAAAAATAATGCTTCATACAAGGTCAACTGTAACAAGCATCAAATCACTATTTCTCCTTCATATATTTGCATGACAAAAAAGGGAATAGTGGCATCAACAATTAATGCTTACTCACAGACCTCTAAACTAAAGGCATTTTTACCAAATGCCAAATATTACTCAGTTTCAATGATATGAAGCACATTTCCAAAGCTGAGATTTACTTTTCAGATAAGATCTGAAACAGGAAAAAAATGTTTCCTTTGTTAAATTTTTCTATATTTTTCAGAGACAAGGCAGCTTACAGTTCTCTTACGAATGAGAAATGACAACATATGTAAGATATGGTACAGCTATACAATACATGTATTTAAGACTGATTGCATTAGGAACTGAAACTCATTGAATTAATGTCTATCTGCTGAAGAGAAATAGAGCAGTTAGCACCCTTTAACACTGAGTTTTCACTCTGATCACCTCATATATAGCCAACCGACAAACACTTTCATCACCTTGACACACTATTTCAGTTCAAATGTATGAAGGCATTTAGTCCCCATCACTTCTCTTCAGGAGACACAACATATCCTGGAACTAAGTGAAATTCTGAAGATCACCTACTCTTCACAGAAGCAGCAAGAGCTCAGTTGAATAGCTAGATTTACTCCTGCAGGAAGCCCTAGAGTGGGGGAAAATTCCTCTGCATACAAATTTTCAGGCAGATGGTCTGCATCCTATAGGAAGGAGAGATCAGAAAGACTCGTCCCAGTTTGGCTCCTAGTTCTACAGAACATAGCTCAGCTTCAACAGCAGACTTCAGGAAGGAGGACATGGAGGAGGACAGAAGAAAGGACATCACTGATATGCTAAAGAAAACCATTTAACAGAGCTTTAAGAAAAAAGAATCATCTGAGAGACTGTTTTTCTTAAAAAGAACAGAAATTCTCTAAATGAAAAGATATTTTTTGATGTATAGGTCAGAAAGACAGCAACCCTCCTTCTTCCAGCTCACATAATTCCAAGCAGTAACCAAGTATATATTTATTTTGTGTCAACATTAGGATTAATTGCCAGTTATAGCTTAGTTATATTTACAGAACTTTAACACTCTTCAGCAAAGCCTCAACACTAATATACAACGAGGATAAGCTGATAGCACAGGGTTCTTTTGAAATAACTTTTAGGGTTTTATTACAGTTCCACCTTATTCTAATATTTCAATAGTTCTAATATTTTCAGATACCTAACGAAGTTGCAGTATGTTCTACCAGATTCATCATTTTCTAATTTATGTAATCTAAAAATACTCCTATAGAACAGTATTAATTCTGTACCATTGCTAAGTAGGCAAACGTACATAAGTACTTTGAATCTATTTATACACAACTGATGAGAAAAGTCTCAATTTCAGTTTCATCCTCCTAGCTAAAAGCTAAGTATCGCAAGTCACTACTTAACATATATATATATTTTTTTTTTTTTTTTAAAAACAAGGCTGAAATTTTCAAAGCTATAAACACAACATTAAAGAACTGGCTTTCAGGCTACCTTCAGTAACCAATTTATTCTTCAGTTAGTGACTTTTAATTAATGACTTCACCAGTTGCCTAACCATTCATCAACTTACAGTACACCTTAGGTGATACAGAAGGGGATGGTTTTGAAGAAAAATGACAATGAAAGTTCTTTTAAGAAGTGTATTTAAGATTAACTTCTTAGCAGATCAACTGTGCGAAGCTGAAGTCTTCATTTTTAGCTCTATGGGCTGTTTTGCACTGATAAAAAACCTGTCCTTTTGGTTACACTAATAAAAGGAAAGAAGACAGAACAACGTGTACACTATTATTAAAAAGGCCAAAAAGATTTAAAAAAATGCATCTTCCAGATATTTTTTTCTGTCAAACTTCTGCAGCATTCAGTCTCAAGGCTTTTATCATCTCTTGTAAATTGAGCTGACCCAACTAGTACACAACCTCAGGCAACTGCTTTCATGCAGTCATATGCCTAGTTAAATAATGGCCCTAATTCCTGAAAGAGAGGCTTGGTGGATACGGGATGGCATAGGAGAGTTGCATAAACTAGGAAAAGAGAAAGCAGAAAATAAGAAAAAAGAGAAGAAAAAAGCAGAAATCACAGCACAGTAAGGAGAATAGGATGAACTATGCTTATCTGAGAGTCCTTCATTTTAGCAATATTTTTGCTTCCAAGAATAAGTCTGTTTTAAAAAGGTATGGGGTTGAGTATTTGTCTCATTTAAACTACTACTTGCAACAACTTTACTTAGTCCTGCATACCATGAAGATGCTGTGGCTCTCAGACAGATTCCTGACAGGGTAGGAGTTACAAATTTGCATAGAAAATCTGTGCATCCTGGAGAGGACAAGCAGAATGACAGATGCTGTTATTTGCTCTCTGCAAATGCTCCTAGATGGTGACTAAACTATTTCAGAAATATTGGTCTCCCATACTTAGACTTGAGAAGCAAATAAAGCAAGTATTTAAGTAAGTTTTGTTTCTTGGCTCTTTATAAACATTGTCCCTCCAAACGTCAATGAAAATAATGGTGATAAGGATTTAGGTTTTTTCTTTAATATATCAAATAAATGTATTGGTAATGAACACTTCCTCCTCCCCTCCCCTCCACTTCCTACTTTGCTTGAGAAGCACCAGGAACTGCTCTGCATAATGTAAAACTAAATGTAGATCCTAAGCCTCAAATTCAGCTTACCTGCCAAAGTTGGCTGGCAAGAACTCAAGAAAAGCATCATTCAGGTACAGCTGTGTTAGGTTTAACAGTTGGGAAAATCCATCTGGAAGCCTACAGAGAAATGAAGTAATGTAGTACACTTTTGTTTCATTTATATTCAGTGCATTGTCATACTTTCTTAAGCAACAGTATAGTGTTAAGTCTGATTATAATATAGCGGTAACATGAAAATTTAAAGTAGTACTAGAATTTCTATAAAAATGCACGAGATACCCATTTATTGTAAGAATAGTTTCAGAAATAACTTTTAAATATTGAGGGCAATATCTACAGGCAATAAAAACAACAAATATCATTTTGCTAAGTTGTGATCTCTGACACCTAATATGGAAGATACACTCACTAGAGATAATTTGAAAAATTAAAATCTATGCAATACTTACCCACCCCCAGAGTTACTTTAAGCAAAGTTTCTATCTCTGCAAGTGCTAATTCTGGTAAGCTAATTTTATCACTGTAGAAGGTGACAGGCAAGTCTCTTCCTCTAAGCCCAGTTTGAAAAACAGCTGTATAGGCTTAAGAATAAAATTAATTATTTTTATTAAGAAATAACTCTCTTAGTGTATTTGTCTACCTTTACAGAGAAGTGATGGACAAAAGAAAAAAAGCTGGAAAAGCTGCATGGTATAAAGCAGCACTCTTCACATAGCCTATTTATTAGGGCAAAATACTTCACTGACACACCCACACCGTATCCCAGGGCAATGAGGTAAATCAAGACACTTGTAACTCGGGCCAAGTGACTCAGGTAACTCTGCTCCTCACCTCCAGTTCCAAAGGTTGGCTCACAAAAAGTTGTCTGGGGCATGTTTGAGACTCAGCAGTGTTTGGTTAAAATATAAAATATCACAAAAATGACAAACTTACTTTGAAATTGGATTTACGCTGGCCTCAACAACTGTCAAGACTTTACAGTTTTTTATGTTTTCTGGAAACTCCTGTATGCCTGTAAAATACAGAGAGAAATAGGGAAACAGTGTTAAAACATGAGACTCCCTCACAGGAGGCACATAAAACCACTAACCGTAAAAACTTTACAACCAGAGAACTAGTTCTCTGAAGTTTTATTTAGAGAGCATTTCCATTAAGAACAAAAAACAAAAACAAAAAACCTTATGCAATATCAATTTCTTTACCATCTATTCTTAAAGCATTTCAGACTGCATCTTAGCAGACAAACAGCATAAGAGTGCACTTACAATTCCCACTGCTCATTACCAAATATTAATCTACTTGTTTGTTGTTGAAATCAGGCTCTCGGTCCTAATTACAGCAATTTTTTTTTTTTTTTTTAAAGTCATCCATACACATACAGCAAAGTTTCAAACAGGATTTGTTAGTCATGTACATGGCTTGGTATGACATTGTTTAAATGGAAAGGCTTCTCTTCTTAAAGTAAGTTTACACCACTCAAAGGTTCTGAAAAGATCTCCCAAAACGTGACACATACTATACTATATCATTATATATTATTATTTGAAGCGATATTATTAGCTTCAAACTATTTGTAGAGAAAGCAAAACATGCTGCAGACACCTTTATGTCAGAAGATCAAAACATTAAGAAATCTTTTCTTTTTAAGGTTAGCTCCAGAAATGTCAGAGTGAATTTGCAACCAATACATTTGCCAAAATTCGTATCTGTCAGTGAATGACAAAATAGGCTTTGAAAACAGAAAACAAGCATCAACTGCATCAGTAGAAAATCAGCGCCAAACCATTTTGCTATCCAGAGTTTCATCTCCATCTTTCCTATTCCTTGAAAAACAAATAAAACGATGGTATCACAACTATATTTCCTTTTGCAATATACCACTACAATGTTGTTCTACCCTAAAGCAGGTGTTTGTATTTCAAATAAACTTGTCATAAGTATAACAAACATGCATACTGCTTTACTTTGGCCTGGATTAAGAACATATGTTCATCCTTCACCACTACCTTTAAAAAAAATCCATATGCTAGTAAAATAAAAACAAGTTTAAAACAATTGAAAGATAAATAGTTAAGATCTATTACAATTAAGGCATGTAATTTCATCTGCTTCTAAAATGTTGAAGAGGAGCATGGGTAGGGCAGTCTGAACCTGTGGAGCAAGACAGCTAAGCAGTAACTGTGCTCTGTGGATGCTCTTTGTATTCCAGTGATACAGTGAAATTCCAGGCTACTCTCAGCAACATTAACTCTCACAGTCCAGCTGCAGAGAGAGATACAATGGCAGTGTGTCTTCTAATTGGGATTGACAGGTGGGATTTCATACCTCTTCCCTCATTGTGCATGTTTCTGACAATACCAAAACAGGGAAGAGGGGGCAGGGGGAAGTGAAGCATCAACTGCTAAGTAATGTTTTTGCTAAAATAAGAAATATACAATTTCTCACATTAGCTTAGCCTTTGATTCTTTTTACGTTTGTGCAGTAACAAGATTGACCTTGTAAATAATAACAAAAGAGATCATGATACCACCTGATAAGAAAATTAGCCACAAAATATATACTTTTACATTAAATCAATTAATGATGTTAAGGCAAAAAAGTCACTATGTTCATAAATTCTATTTAAATAGGAACTCTGATTCTGCCAAAGCAGACTTTTAGGCCTTTCTTGACAGGAATCTGTTTGTCATGCCCAATGGCCGAAGGTCTTACTTTTGACTCATACCAGGTGTTGTACTCAGTGTGCTTTTCCTGCCTTTTATCTCTAAATAACAAAGCCACACAGTTAATCCAGGTGTTTAAATACATATTTAAGTATCATGGATCCTTTTAGGAAACAGCTCACTGAACTCAAAGACAATTAGGAATAGAACAAGGAGGCCAGGAGGAATTCAACTCTCAACTGTAACACAGGCGAAAACTTCTGATAATTCTTGTTTCCCTGTGTGCGCAAGTACCTGTGTGTAAATAAATATACAACTTTGGCCACGTGAACTTTACCGAGAGCGGGACTGTGTGGAAGCAGGAGGAGAAGACAGAGCTACTAATTCAATTCACTTTGTCACTCTCACAGTTTAGAATCAAAACCAAAAAAAGACAGTATTTGTAACATAATGAAGCTTCATTTCTGGGAAGCAGCAGGGATATTTTCAGCTCCAGGGATAGTCTTGAAGATTAGAAAACTACATAGAAACACTAGAAAAGTACCTTACCTATTGCAGGTAAGGTTAATGAGGAAGAAGTATGATGCCTTTCCTCCTTAAAATAAATGACGTCTACAATAACTACAGTAAATGACTCCCAAGTTCTCTCTTGGATTCAAAGCAAAAAAGTCAGAGCAGAAGATGATCACAATATTGACCGTAGCTTGGTGTCTGGATGTCATATACTCTGGTACAACATGTTAAAACTCATGTTTTCAATATTAATATCATGTCCACTACCTACATCAAGAATTTATTAAAGCACAGAAGATTTAAATCTGTAATGAATATCTAGGAAGAAAAATGGCTCTTCCTTCCACTAGAGAAGAGGAGGAAGAGGATACCAATATAAACTTGCTCTCAACAGCACAGCCAAATAAAATATTAGCTATCCAAATACAGACATGTTAAATCAGCACGCTTTTGTACATAATCAGAAGACTACACAGCAGTCTCTTGTTTAACTATGCCTTGGACAAAAAAGTAGCAAGAGTTTTAAAAACAAACTAATAACTGAAATTCAACTGATATGGAAAAGTTAACAATATAGTAGCCCATGAATTAAGTTTCGCTTTGTTCTTTGAGCCAGGACTGTCACAGTCCATACTATCTTACCAACCTCTAACACTTAAGTATGGATAAATGGGAGCTATCATTCAGAACAGCAGTAAATTGGGAATGACAGCATGAAGCAATATACTCAAAGTCTGTAGTACATATTCAGAAGACAGAACAAAATTAAGAGACTGTTCATCTCTATTAGGTGATAAGAAGTAGCATTTACTAACTGGTTCTACAAAAAGCTTCAAGCCTCAATAAATACCTGGATCAAATGAACAAATTCTGAGAGATTCACATTGCTTTCTAAATCCTATTTTCCTTCAGGATCTTCTATCATCTCCTTTATCTACTGATGCTCAAGGATTATAGAAAAGGAACACACTGCAACAGATCACTTCTAGGTTATCCAGTCTGTTGCAGTTTTATCCCACTTTCCTTGAGAAGCGTCATAGGGATAGGTTCTTTATCCTGCTGTTTCCTACTTTACAGAACAACCTCCACCCTGTTTCAGTGCTGTAACTGATTTACAGGTCATACTTAACTATCTCACAGTAAACAAACCCCTCACACTTGCGGACTATGATCTTTTTGCAAAGCACAAAAGGAAAAAACATGGCTTGCTGGTAATCTTTAATTCTAACCACTGGATCCACAAACTAAACTGAGAGTAAAATTATTTTTGTAATGTAATTTCCTACAGAAGTGAGATTTGAATAGTAGCATTTAGTATTTACTTGTATGTCTCCTTCCTCCTCGTTTGCCCAAATCTCAGGAATTTTAAACTCATTGTCAATTCCTATCATAACTGACACTGGAAAAAGGGAATAAAATTGGACAATAGTTACAGAAAATTTGGCAATTGGGCAAAGGGAAAACTAAATTGCCTGGGCTGAGCCAAAAAGCAGAAATCATTCATCATTCATAAACTCCATTTGGCAAAAACTCCCCAGCCAAGCAGCACAGCCTACAGACTGGTGATGGTTAATCAAGGTCTCCAGACCAGCCGCAGTATGTGTGCAAAGGCACCAAAAAGGTCGCACAGGGAGTTAGGGTCAACGGCCATAAGTCTGTATGTAATCGACTTCAGTCCCGAATCACATAGCACTGTTGAAATAAGGAATTTCATCTGGTCTCTATCTCCCCAGAGAGCAATAATTGTTTTGGCACAGTTGATAGAACAAGTATGTGCTAATGTCTCCCTCATTGTTAAGACTGCATTAAGGCAATTGTAAGTATAATTGAGGTCTCACCCACCATCTGGAGTTACAGTGATCTCCTCCCCCGGATAGCAGACCCTTTCCTCTCCCCAGGGTCAGCATTACTCACAGAGCAGGAGTGAAAACTGGAACCACCTTTTCTCTTCCTCAGAAAAAAAAAGATTCTGCACTCAGATATCAGCAGTTCTGAGTTTGCAGAAAACTGTGGAAATCAGATCCACTGCTGGCAGGAGCCTGTACTGTGATGGATCCCAGGGCTGACACGTGCAATTGTTTCAGCTATACCGAAGATGGGGTTTTGCTTTGTTGCCCATACTCCAGTCATGTTCGCACATTTTTCTTTGCAATCAAATGCTAACACTAGTATTCCTAAACTTCAATTATTCAAACTATTATTGCTCGAGACAGCAGTGGCAGTACCTCCAAATCAACTTCCACCTCTTTTCACAGAGGAATATTTTAAAACAGAGGGTTGCTAAGAGATTTAATCATCCAATTCCTAAAAAGCATAGGAAAAAAAAATTTCAGTAACAGATATGAGACCTGGGAAAGCTATATGGGTAACACTCCCAAAGGAAAGAGTTTACAGCTGGGTCTCTCAGTTTCTGAAAAACGTGAGAAAAACATTTTCTTGCTCTAAACAGGCACATAGGCACACCAAAAGTCCTCTTGCTGCAAGAACAAATGCCCTCTGTGCACCCTTCCCAGTCTGCAGCCTTACAAGTGGGGATGACACAGAATCAAACATATACACTCAGTCTGCATGAATATAAAAGCAACCTTAATTATGTATGTCCCCTCCACAGCTACTCTATTCACCGTGGCCTGCACTCCTGGGCAAACAGCTGCGAGGACCTGCCTGAAAGCAGCTCCACTATAAAAAGAGCAGCTTTGGTAAGTTTTCCACTCAGTCCTCTTTGCTGCAACTGGAGCAAATATGAATCAAACATGGTAATCAAGATGAAATATTTTCAGAGCTCAAGAAAATATGCCACGACTGTCCCAAAGATAATGAAAACTTTTTGTAAAAG